ATATCACAACGGACACTACAGAAATACAGAAGATAATTAGAAATTAGATTGAAACCCTATATTCCAATAAAATAGAAGATAGTGAAGATATCGATAAATTTCTTAAGTCATATGATTTGCCCAGATTGAGTCAGGAAGGTACACACAATTTAAACAGACCAATAACAAAGGAGGAAATAGAAGAAGCCATCAAAAGACTACCAACCAAGAAAAGCCCTGGACTGGATGGATATGCAGTGGAGTTTTACAAAACCTTCAAAGAAGAATTAATACCAATACTTTTCAAGTTATTTCAAGAAATAGAAAAAGAAGGAGATCTTCCAAATTCATTCTATGAGGCCAACATCACCCTGATCCTGAAACCAGACAAGGACACTTCAAAGAAAGAAAACTACAGACCAATATCTCTAATGAACATAGATGCAAAAATCCTCAATAAACTCCTGGCGAATCAAATACAAAAGCATATCAAAAAAATTGTGCACCATGATCAAGTAGGATTCATCCCTGGGATGCAAGGCTGGTTCAATATACGGAAATCAATAAATTTTATTCACCACATCAATACACTTAATGATAAGAACCACACGATCATCTCGATAGATGCAGAAAAAGCATTCGACAAAGTACAACATCCCTTTATGTTCAAAACACTAGAAAAACTAGGGATAACAGGAACTTACCTCAATATTGTAAAACTATATATGCTAAGCCTCAGGCTATCATTATTCTGAATGGAGAAAAACTGAAGGCATTCCCTCTAAAATCTGGAACAAGACAGGGATGCCCTCTCTCACCGCTTCTATTCAATTTAGTTCTTAAAATACTAGCCAGAGCAATTAGACAGACAAAAGAAATTAAAGGCATAAAAATAGGAAAAGAAGAACTTAAATTATCACTATTTGCAGAAGACATGATTCTATACCTAGAAGACCCAAAAGGGTCTACAAAGAAACGACTAGAATTAATAAATGAATTCAGCAAAGTGGCAGGATATAAAATCAACACACATAAATCAAAGGCATTCCTGTATATCAGCGACAAATCTTCTGAAATGGAAATGAGGACAACCACCCCATTCACAATATCCTCAAAAAAAATAAAATACTTGGGAACCAACCTAACAAAAGAGGTGAAAGATCTATACAATGAAAACTACATAACCCTAAAGAGAAAAATAGAAGAAGACCTTAGAAGATGGAAAAATATACCCTGTTCATGGATAGGAAGAACTAACATCATCAAAATGGCGATATTACCCAAAGTTCTCTATAGGTTTAATGCAATGCCAATCAAAATCCTAAGGGCATTTCTTGTAGAAATAGATAAAGCAATTATGAAATTCATATGGAAAAACAAAAGACCCAAAATAGCAAAAGCAATTATAAGCAGGAAGTGTGAGTCAGGCGGTATAGCGATACCAGATTTCAAACTATACTACAGAGCAATAGTAACAAAAACAGCATGGTACTGGTACCAAAACAGGCGGGTAGACCAATGGTACAGAATAGAGGACACAGAGACCAATCCACAAAATTACAACTTTCTTATATTTGATAAAGGGGCTAAAAGCATGCAATGGAGGAAGGATAGTATCTTCAACAAATGGTGCTGGGAAAACTGGAAATCCATATGCAACAAAATGAAACTGAATCCCTTTCTCTTGCCATGCACAAAAGTTAACTCAAAATGGATCAAAGAGCTTGATATCAAATCAGAGACTCTGCCTGATAGAAGAAAAAGTTGGCTCCGATCTACATATTGTTGGGCGGGCTCCAAATTCCTTAATAGGACGCCCATAGCACAAGAGTTAATAACTATAATCAACAAATGGGACTTACTCAAACTAAGAAGTTTTTTCTCAGCAAGAGAAACAATAAGAGAGGTAAATAGGGAGCCTACATCCTGGGAACCAATTTTTTACTCCTCACACTTCATACAGAGCCCTAATATCAAGAGTATACAAAGAACTCAAAAAATTAAACAATAAGAAAACAAATAACCCAATCAACAAATGGGCCAAAGACCTGAACAGACACTTCTCAGAGGAGGACATACAATCAATCAACAAGTACATGAAAAAATGCTCACCATCTCTAGCAGTCAGAGAAATGCAAATCAAAACCACCCTAAGATACCATCTCACTCCAGTAAGATTGGCAGCCATTATGAAGTCAAACAGCAACAAATGCTGGTGAGGATGTGGGGAAAAGGATACTCTTGTACATTGCTGGTGGGACTGCAAATTGGTGCGGCCAATTTGGAAAGCAGTATGGAGATTCCTGGGAAAGCTGGGAATGGAACCACCATTTGACCCAGCTATTGCCCTTCTCGGACTATTCCCTAAAGACTTTAAAAGAGCGTACTACAGGGATACTGCCACATTGATGTTCACAGCAGCACAATTCACAATAGCTAGACTGTGGAACCAACCCAGATGCCCTTTAATAGATGAATGGATTAAAAAAAAGTGGCATTTATACACAATGGAGTATTATGCAGCACTAAAAAATGACAAAATCATGGAATTTGCAGGGAAATGGATGGCATTAGAGAAGATTATGCTAAGTGAAGCTAGCCAATCTCTAAAAAACAAATGCCAAATGTCTTCTTTGATATAATGAGAGCAACTAAGAACAGAGCAGGGAGGAAGAGCAGGAGGAAAAGGTTAACATTAAACAGAGACATGAGGTGGGAGGGAAAGGGAGAGAAAAGGGAAATTGCATGGAAATGGAAGGAGACCCTCATTGTTATACAAAATTACATATAAGAGGTTGCGAGGGGAATGGAAAAAAAACAAGGAGAGAAATTAATTACAATAGATGGGGTAGAGAGAAAAGATGGGAGGGGAGGGGGGATAATAGAGGATAGGAAAGGTAGCAGAATACAACAGTCACTAATATGGCATCATGTAAAAATGTGGATGTGTAACCGATGTGATTCTGCAATCTGTATTTGGGGTAAAAAATGGGAGTTCATAACCCACTTGAATCTAATGTATGAAATATGATATGTCAAGAGCTTTGTAATGTTTTGAACAACCAATAAAAAAATATAATAAAAAAAAGTGAATGGCATGCATCTGCAAACCCCAACAAACTGGAAACTCCATGAGGGCAGGAATTGTGCTTTAATTATCATTGAAAACTCTTACTTTTTGTTATCTCAAGTCAGACACTGAGATGAAGACTTGATCCCAGATAGTTGATGCCAAGAGACACATGTGACACTTGAGGAAAGTTGAGATAGGGAAGAAGAAAAGGTAAAAATGGGTTCATAAATATGTTGCCATTTGTGGGCAACTGGAGCTCAGTCCTGTTGGGGGGTCCTCATCCTCTTATTAATTATATATATAAAACACCTCAGAATTACCTCTTGAGGTATGGGAAGCTGAAGTTTTTACCCACTAATTCCCATCCCTCATTGGATAAGGAATTCCCTTGGACATGAAAACCCTGGTAGCTTCAGGTATCCTTCTCAGGGGATAATGAAACTTTGATAGCCATGGACAGAGGTCTCAGCAGAGAAGTGTGGGACTTGGGTGCTTGTTATATACTTTTTGAATTTCCTATAAAGGTCATGTGTTTTTATTACTAACAAAACAAAACACTGAAAGAAAACACTCCCTTCTCTCAACCACAAAGCCTTCTTTATTTTGAGTCTCAACTAAATGACTAAAGTGTTGATCCTTTAACATAAATGGTCTTTTATCACATCTGCTCTTCCAACACATCATATCATTCAGCTTAAACTTAACTCTTCACTACAACAAACATTTCTGAAGGAAAAAGTGATGGCGACATCTCTGAAATGCTCACTTTCCAGTGTGTTTCTTCCTATTGATGGAGCACCCTCTCTCTCCAAGGAGAAATCTGAAAACTCTAACAAAGTATTTGTTGTAATCTGTCATTCACTTTATTTTACATTTACAAACAGTCTTTATAAGAATAAGAAGAAAAAAAGTTTTTCCAAAAAGTGTACAAGTACTTTCCAGAATTTGCATATATTGTATTCTACCAGTTTATTTGTAAGATTGTTGGAATATATAACACATTTTCTAACAAAATAATGTTTAAAAATAGTTTATTTTGTTTTTTTTTCTTTATTTGGATTAACTCTCCAAACTTAGTATAGTTTAATTGCATTATTTACTTTGGTGCCCAAAATATACTTTGAGCCACATATTTGTATCAGGCACAAATTTAAGTGTTAGGGTTATAACCATTACTGTTGAATGCCCCCTCTAGTGTAAGCTTGGCCCACCTCTGAGTCTTCTGCACTCACCTTGCACATTAAGTACCCATGTGGATGATTTTAAATAAATGGAACTGCAAGCCGAAATTAGAACAAGACACAAAGAATTCAGACTCAAACATTGTTAGGTAGCTTTCCACAGTTTTCAATCCTTGCTCCAGTTTGTATCCATGAATCCCTAACTTCCAGCTACCATATATTTATGCTAAGCCACTCCCAAATTAAGGGCTTATTGAAACTATCTTTACTGTGGCACGGGGAGATAGTGGGAGCCTAATATATCTGATGTCTCAAAAATTTACCTTTTTCTTTTTTTTTTTTGATACCAGAGATTGAACCAGGGGTACTTAACCTCTGAATCACATACCCAGTTCTTTTTATATTTTATTTTGAGACAGGGTCTAGTTGAGTTGCTTAGCGCCTCACTAAGTTGCTGAGAGGCTGGCTTTGAACTCACAATCTTCCTTCCTCAGCCTCCAGAGCCACTGGGATTACAGGTGTGTGCCACCACACCCGGCTCAAAAATTATACCATTTCTTAGAGAAACAAACAGATATTTAATAGAAACCTTTATTTCTCAAGGATCAAGGGGTAACGAGTTCACCTGTGTATTTACTTTAGAGAAGAAACAGTGGTCTGAAACCACCTTTGGTATCTAAGATATGTCATCTGAATATCTTATATGGATGAGCTATATAATATCATATGAAGAAAACTGTTTTCTTTTTATGGGACTATGTACTCACCCCAAATTCCCATGAATATTGCAAAGAATACTGTAGATTCATTATCAAATAAATGGGACAACTGTAAAAATAACAATAACAACATCACAAAGACCAGTTAGTATCAATTGCAATATAAAAGGAGGGAAATTCCAAGTTTTTTGAACATACCACAAAGTCTACATACCTTTGAACTCAAGCAGGTACTATTTAGTCTCCAATAATCACATACTTGATCACAGAGTGGGCACATGATCAATTGACCTCCAATTTCAGGGTCACAGATGTCAGTACTACCCGGAGAACAGTAAAGTTATTTTGAAGGCAATGTTTTACAGTGAAAGTCTAAGCTACTATTATTAGAACAACTGTTTATATAGATTCTCACATAGAAGAGAAGGAGCAATGAAGTAGCATTTTCTGTAATGGGTCAAGTTATATTTTGAGGAGAAAAATTTTTAAAGCACATCATTAAAAACATTTTCAAGAAAGCATCTGGTGAAGGGCAGCTGCTGTGTTTGGGTCCTCTTTGGAAATATCAGTTAACTGAGAGCATAGGGAAATATTTTGGACAAATGCCAGGGAAATAACAATATTTGTTTCATTTAACATAAGAAATATTTTCTCTGAGGAGCTCAGCTCTACTTACCTGGTTTGGTTAGAATCCATTAATAATATCCCATAAATAAGACAAGCTAAGCCAACTACAGCTGCAATTAGAAGCATTTCAGTGTAAAATCCCAAGAAAACAAAATAGATACCAATTTTTTCTCCAAAATAGTCCCTGTGAAAAAGATTAAAAAGAAAAATCAGAAATTAGAAGAATGGTGTAGTCCGGGGAGCTTCGGTTTTTTATTCAGACAGACATGCATTCTAATTTTGGCCCCACTGTTTTCTAAATGTGTAATTTTGGTAAAGTTCCTTAACTCTCTAAACTTACTTTCCACATGATAAAAAACAGGAAAATCCCTATCCCATTCTATGTGAATACATGTAGGGATTAAAAGAAGTAGCACATAGGAGGAGTTGCTTGAATATAATATAAATTTAAATTTTATATAATAAGATAATTTGAAGAGCTTCTAAATTTTAGAGAAATCAAGCATTTTTTAAATAAACTACAAAGTACTCTGAAATGAAACCTCTAGCAATTAATCTGACACCTTAAAATCATACTCATAATCTGCATGGATTTTTGCTTTACCTAATTTCTGACACTGACAATGGTACTTGGAACATACTGTAGGTATATATGATCATCTTCCTCCTAGTTTGGATCTCTAATGGAGGAACATAGGTAACTGATCAAGGAATTTAAAAGGACTATTTAATAAAAATTCCACCAAGTATAGTAGTTCAGCTCTTCCTTTATAAAGGTTTAATATTGAGCATAAATATTCAGGTTTCAAAATCAAGTTTGTTTTCTTTTTTAACTGAGTCCTTCTTTAGGAATCTAACAGCATAGTTTTCTCTGATTCAGAAAACCAGGTTTCATTGTTGCTTCTTACCTGGTTATTCTCCTTCTTATTCATACAGAGACTAGCTCACCAAATTTGTATGCTTTTCAACAGCTTCCTAGACAGTTAGATGTGATTAGTTTTGATTTCAAGAGCATGTTTATGAAAGCACTTAAATTGCAGTTTTCATACATGCATCCAGGTCTGTAAAGGTTCAATAAACATCATTTCCCAATGAGAATTTCAAATGTATTTCTCATATTAAATATTAGTTTTATTGAACCTCTCATTTTTCAAAACTCTTTTCTAAATAGGCTTCTTTCTGTTTGTATAATCTTCCTTCATTCTTTTCCGTAATAATAAGCATTTTGTATTTTTTCTCATGGTTTATATATTTTAAAATTTTATTGGATATTTTTATTATACATGACAATAGAATTCATTTTTATATCTTCATAAAAGCATGGAATATAATTGCTTCTAATTTAGTTCCCTGTACATCCCCACCCCTTTTCCTTCCACCTGTTACACCCTTCCCTCTAATCTACTATTTTTCTGCTATTTATTTATAGTTTTTTTAAAAATTAATATCTTGTGGATGTACATGATGGTTTATTCACATATGTACATAGGGAAGTTAGGTCAGATATATTCTACTGTCTTTTCCTATCCCATCTGTCCTCTCTTCCCTTCATTCCCCTTTGTCTAATACTCTGGTCTTTCTTCTATTTCTTTTATGCCCATCTGCCCCATATTTGGGATTAGCTTCCACATATCAGAGAAAACATTCTTTGACTTTTTGGGACTGGCTTATTTCAGTCAGCATGGCAGACTCCAGTTTCATTTATTTACTGGTAAATGCTATTAAGTCATTCTTCTTTATGGCCAAGTAATATTCCATTGTGTATACATTTTAAATTTTTATTTTCCCTATTGTTTTACAAATCACCATGACATGAAATTTAACTATAACACCATACTTACTAATCTACCATTCATAACTTCCTTACAGTTACTCTCAACTAGGGTGAATGGACTTGCTTTCTCCCAGTATTTTACTGAAACATATAATAATTACTATAATACTATATAACAATAAAATCAGGAAAAAGTATATACTGTTTTATTTTGTGGAAGATCATTTTCACCATGTTTATTTTCCTTTGATGTTTTAACATTATAGAAGCAAAAATTTTAGGAGGTATAAGGTAATATTACTCCTATAGACATATAATTCCTCAGAAATTCAAAAGAAAACTAGATATTTCAACAACCTTATTTTTAAAAAATATTTTTATTAGTTATTAATGGACCTTTATTTATTTATTTGTTTATATGTGGTTTATATATTTGCCTCACAAATGCTAGGTGATCACTCGACCATTGAGCCACAACCATAGCCCTCAACAAACTTATTTTTAAAGGACAAACTGCTTTTATCTACCTTTCAGATTTCATGAATATTTTAAGGAGGAAAATAGTCAAGCACTTATTAGATAAAGTTATGAGAATTTATTGTATCTGGAAGTGTAGCAATTATTTTACTAAACTTTGAACTTAAGTTTAACAATAACTGATTAACACTTAAACTACTTTATAAGACATACCTTACATTTGTATTACAGTAAAAATACATAGATTATTGAAATAAAATTTAAGATGCTGCTTAACCTATCTTATTATTCACAACAGAAATAAATATAACAATATGAAACACTCTACAAAGTCTCAAATATACTGAGACTCCTTTCTTTTGAGCATTTCCTAGGAAAAATGTGCCATATATTTATATGCATATTATTTCTCAACCTGCTCATTTTATTTACTAAATGTTCAAATTGTCTCTGACCTTCTAATATCTAACAGCATCTGACAGAAGAGATTTAGTAATAATGGCTGTGCAATGATTATATGAAGTAATTAGTCTAATTTGGGGGAATGTACTGGGGAATGAACTCAGGGGCTTGACCACTGAGCCACATCCCCATTCCTATATTTCATTTAGAGACAGGGTCTCGCTTTGTTGCTTAGTGCCTTGCTTTTGCTGAGGCTGGCTTTGAACTCAAGATACTTCTGTCTCATCCTCCCAAACTGCTGGGATTACAGGCGTGCCACCATGGTGCCTGGTAGGATTAGTCTAATTTTGTAAATCCAAGGTGAAAAAATTAGTCTGAGGTAGTACAAAGAATTATGATAGAATCTGAGATAGATAGGATGTCAGGGAGAGACAAAAGGAGACCCTTGGTAGAGGGACCAAGATATGTGAGTATGATCAGCCACACCTGCCTCATTAGTTAGATGAATAAAACCTCCAGTGTATGCTTGTACCAGATTATCAATAATGAGAACAAATCAGTTTCAATGCCAGCAGATTCAAAGACCTACACAGAGTACCCATAAATGATTTATGACCAGACGGCTTTAACCAGGAAGAAACATTCTTAACCCTAAATATCAAATGATTGACATGGGATTTTTCACAAAAGCTTGTTAGGAAACCTGTACTTTTCTTCCCCAGAAAATCCCATGTAGAAAATCCTATGTATGTCATTTGTCTTCTCTAAAGAGGCAAGAGGAGTCTGCACCCTGCCTTTGGGGTGTGCATATCTTTGCTTTAATCAATCTTTCTTGTGCCCTGCTTTCAATGTGTTCCAATTTTTTTTTAGTGGTATAAGTCAAGAACCCTCCCAGGCCAATTTGTGGACATACTGCCCCTTGGACCTTTGTCCAATGACAAATTGACTAAAATAGAGTCCCAAAGAAAGAATGAACAAATGCAAACATCCACTCTAAAAGAATTCATTTTCATAGCAAATTCATTGACAAATGAGAAACTTAGCTATTATATTATCTTGGAACTATAATAGTTCATTATAGTCATTGCGCTTTAATAGATAGTAATATAACATTTTATTTCTAAACAGTGAGAAAAAATTTATAAAGTTGTTAAACTGGCAAGGAAAAAAGGCTGATAGAGCATATAAAATTGCAGTTTAATATGACAATGACAGAAATCTTGGTATTAAAATTTCCCCAATATATTATTTAATACAATAAAGTGATCATTGCCCTAGTGACAGAAAAATCACTTATAAATATTCAGATGCTGGAATTGTAATTTGGTATGGAGATAACATAAACTATGTGAAATGTAGGAATTTATATTCCTATATTCTGAATCTCTTTCTAGACACCACAGTCATCCTGACTTCTCTATTATTTTCTACGTTCAGTCACCCACTAGATCCCAGGAATACTGCCAAACACACACAAAAAAAGTTTTATAATCCATGGTCTCTCCTCTATTCTGTTTCCAGTGCCTTGGATAGGCTCTTCAATATTTATTGCCACAATCAACAGCTTCCTTACTTGCCTGCTTCAGTCTTTCTCCTCTTCTGGGTTTGCTCATTGCACCCCCAAACTATTATTTTATCCCAAAGATAAATCTTAACAGGATTTTTTCTTTTTTCTTTTTGTTTTTCAATCAAATCAAATTGAGTATGTTATGGTTTGAATCTTGAATTTTTTTTCTAAAAAAGATTGTTTGAAACTACTGTCCCCAATACAGCAAGTTTCGGAGGTAGGGCTTTTAGGAAAAGATTGGACCATGTGAGATACAACCTCATCAGTGGATTAGTCATTTAAATGGACCACTGAGTAGTAACTGTAGGCAGGTGGAAATGGCTGGAGGAAGTAGGACACTGGAGGGGCATGTTCTTCAAGATAATATGTCCTTGGTGCCTCTCTCTCTCTCTCTCTCTCTCTCTCTGTGTGTGTGTGTGTGTGTGTGTGTGCTTCCTGGCTGCCATGTTATGAGCAGCTTTCCTCCCCAGCCCTTCTGCCATGATTTCTGCTCTATCCCAAACTCTAATCAATGAAACAGGCAACCATGAAGTGATACCTCTGAATAGAAAGCAAACTTTTCCTCTTCAAACTTGTTTTTGTCACAGCAATGAAAAGCTGACTAACAGTATAATTCACATATGATAAATACACTTGGTTTAAATGCATAGTTCAAGAATTTCAAATTCAGGCTTTCATTTCATGTAATTACAATTCCAATCACATACACATCACTTCTATCAATTAAAAAGTTCCCTATAGCCCCTGAAGTTGACCCTTCCCTTACACCGAGTTCTGGAAAATGGTTATTCTAAAGTCAGTCCCTATTGCTGTGTCTTTTACATAATGATGTTTTTAAATGGAAACAGAGTATGTAGTTTTCAGTGGTTTGCCATGTTAATGCAACATCAGAGAAATGAAGATGTTGCATAAATTGTTTCTGTTTATTTCTGAGGGAAAATATCCACTGTATGAATGTATGATAATTTGTTTATACACTCATCGGTACATGGAGAGTTGTTTCCAGATTTTTATTATTAGAAGTTAGACTGTCATGAATATTCATATAATGATGCTTCTGTAGACATTTGCTTCATTTTCTCTGGTTATGCATAAGTGAAACTGCTGACTAACACAGAAACTATGCATTTATAAGAAACCTTCACACTGGTTTGTAAAGGTGCAGTACCATAATGTATTCCCACCAGCAGTGTTTGGGATTTCACATAGTGCTGCAGCCCTGCCAGTACTTCTTGTGAGTGTTTTTTTTTTAACTTTAGCTGATATAGGGAGTAAAAAGAGATATCTCAATAACATTTTAATTTTTATTCCCCCTATAAATGATAATATTGAGCTTTTATGTACTTATTAATCATCAGTAAACATGATTGTTTGGGGAAGTATCTGTTGCAATCTTTTGTCATTTAAAATTATTTTGCCTTATTAGTGAATTATAAGAGTTCCTTAAGTACTATAGGTAAGAGTCTTTTATTATGTCTATTGTAAAAGTTTTCTTCTATTGTCCTGTAATTTGTCTTTTGATTTTTGTGACCATCTTTTAAGGAGACTATATTTTTAATTTTGATTAAATCAAACATATCGTTTTCTTATAGTGTTTTGGTGTCTTATGTGAGTTTATGCCTAACACAAAGTCATATAGATTTTTCTCTATACTCTCTTGAAAACACTTTCAGGTTTTCTTTTTTTTTGTTTTTGCCAGGCATGGTGTCACATGCCTGTAATCCCAGAGGCTTGGGAGGCTGAGGCAGGAAGAATGCAAATTCAAAGCCAGTCTCAGCAATTTAGCAAGGTCCTAAAGCAACTCGGTGAGACCCTGTCTCAGAATAAAAAAATAAAAAGGTCTAGGGTTGTGGCTCAGGAGTTAGACACCCCTAGGTTCAATCCCTGGTACAAAAAACAAACAAACAAACAAACAAAAAACACTTTGTAGTTTTTGCTTTTACACTTAGTTCTATGGTCCGCTTCTGTTCAAGTTAATTTAAATCTTCTTATGGTAAAGTATCAAGATTTATGTTTTGGATACACATATCCATTTGTATCAGCATCATCCCCATTGAATTTTCAGGTAACTTTGTTGATAATAAATTAATCATATGAGTCTTTCTGAACTCTCCTTTTGCTAAAGGTTTCATTTGGAAATGACTCAAATAACAAAGAAAAATTGAAAGTACAATTCATAGAATGCTATGATTCTTTCATTGTAAGCATTTTGCTCCATATACATTTTCTCTCCCTCTTTTTATGGGTGTATATGATTGTCCACACATATATCTTTACCTGAACCATTTGAAAATAAGTTAAATACATTGTAGTCCTTTAACACTAATATTTCATTGTACATTCTTAAGAATGAAGATCCTTTCCATAACCACTGTGAGCAAATTCTAAGGATAATGGCTCTTTCCTGCAGTTGCTACTTCTGTGATAAGGCAGTATTTTTTCTGTTGCCTTTTCAGTTATCTACTAAACACCTTTACTCAGCTATTGGTACTGAGAATAAATTTTCTGCTAATTTTTTTTATTCTATTGTTGAAAATGAAACACTCTGCTTGCTATATATGGGAAATGATTAACAGGATGAAAAGTTTTATAATTATTGAATTTAAGATACACACTGTCATCCAAAGGAATATCTGAACTTCCTTCTAGTTGCAAAAGGAAATTAGCAGATGTTAACAAGATATTACAAATACACCAGCACTAATCGGAGACATAATGTGTCTACGGATCTAGGATTCTGAAAACCAACCCTGGGGAATACTTATTAAATGTCCACTTATGGTAGATATTTGAATAATGTTAGGTGAATAAAAACATTTCACAACTTTGTTTCTTAAAAAAATCCTACTAATATATTCTTCAATAGCAGATATTTCTGACAACACTGAATGCAACAGTAAAAAAATACAGGACAATCTAATGTTTTTCACTAGAAAAACTCACAAATGCCCTATAAAATGCATAAAAAGTTATTGCATACTGTTAAAAAGTATGAGACAGATCTTTGTATATCTACCAAAAAGGATATATTATTAAGTGGAGCAAAAGAAATTCTCAGCATCATAAAAATGATAAAAATGCCAAAAGATTATAACAGACACTTTAACAAAAATTGCTTATGGATAGCTAATCAGTACATCAAAAAATACCACAGGTGAAAATATATTTATGTATATTCTCTTATGCAGACACATAAAAATAGAACTAAATAGATATCACAAAGCAAGAGAAATTTGTTCTGTGGAGTTTGCCAGAAATGGAATTTCCACTTAAAATTTTTACATTTTTATTACTTAAATTTTTCATAAATGTGCTATTCTGTCACTTAAAAAATTAAATGATGATTTTTCAAAACTTAAAATAGTCATCCAAGAATGAGTCTGATTAATGATTGACAGAGTCACTGGCTATGTGAAAGTATCACAGTACAAGCATAAATTATATAAAAATACTGACTCTAGTGGCAGGGGCATCTGTAATCTGATTGTTCCTTTACTGATACCATAGCAGAGTCTCTCAATGGCCTGTGTACATGAAACATTGTTATCTTTCAACTTGAAAACCTGCAACCATATTGTTCTTGCTCAGTTAATAAAACTATCTGAAGACAGTTCAGGTTATTGAGCAAATGACTTACAGATCTCTAAGATCAATATACACACAAAAATCTACCTGTTACCTTCCTTCTATCTTCTAGATTCTCGTACTATAGAAGAAAATCTACACTAATATGCACTGAGAAGTAAGTGCTGGTCCCAATGCTAGAAAATACATGTGTCTATTTAATTATTAAATAAATCCAAAAGAAAGTACTTTTGTTATTTTTCTTCTACAGATGACCTTCTTAATAGCCAAGTGATTTGACCAACTTTATATAACTTTTAAGAGGCAGAACCTGATGATCTCATGGATTTTGGCAACAATATTCTGCTCCCAAATGAATTACTTGATGGTGAAAATTATGAGACGGAGAATATGTAAAATGTAATGGGTGAAAATGGTAGCAAAATGTAATAGCATAGTTTTCATTGTAAGATACTTACTTAATTAAATCTAAAGGCTGCTCCTTGTAAAAATAGGAAAAGCGTGCCCAATTCTGATAAAGTGTATACCTTTCATTGACAGTACTGGGAGATTCTGCTGGCTTCCAATATTGGCCCTATAAATATTCAAGAAGAAGAAACAAAAGACAAAGTAAAAGACAAGGAAAAAGTAAATGAATGCTTTTTTCCCCCACCCCCAGGAGGTTAAAGGACAAGACTAATACTCTATTTTAGTTTTATATTTATGTTTCATATTCCACTGATGTGAATTTAATTACTAAAATCCATCAAAATTCATACTACTAGTGCTAATAGTGATTATTTACTAAGTTTTTACACAGCTAACTAAAAATATGAGTTAAAATTTGAGACTTGGCCTCTGCTCAAACTGTTCCCTTCACCTAAAATGCCCTGCCTTCTCTATTCAAGTGTTCTTTACTCATCTCAGCTTAGAGATTCAATTGCTATGTAGCCAGCTCAGAATTAAGAGATAGGCCAATGTTTTTATTCTATAGCTAGAAGAATTAAACCCAAAGCAGAGTTAAGTGAATGATCTAAGTCACACTGCTATGCCAGGAAGAGATTCTTGTACAGTTCTCTTTGGTTATCACCAATAATCACTTGCCAACAAATGTAAATTATTGCAAATTTTAGCACTTAAGAGCCTCAGTATTATCTCATGTATGACTTCCCTACCCATTGTTAGATACTAAATAGCTTTGCTAAGATCTCTTCCTGGCTAGGCAAATAAAATACTGTGTACAAATTTAGCTGTGTAATACATTCTGTTCTACTATTTATGTAGACAACTGAACTACTGAGGACCACATTGAATGCACACTATGTTTAAAATTTAGCACATGTGAAAATATATATGATAGAGTGTAAAATTTTGTACTGTACATATTCCAACTTCTTTCTTCTGTAGATTTCTACTGAATTTTGAGAAATAAAATTAAAAAGAAAAGAAATAAGTAGCCTATATAGGAATCTTGTACAAATGATTCTGTAAAGCAGATAAGGGAAAATCCAGTATGTCAACTTGCATTCAGAAGTGAAGGTAAGAAAAGTACAATTAATTGGCTGTTAAGTTATAGGTATCTCTAAAGACAACTCCATATCACTGAATTTCCAATGAGCATGACACTTGCTTAAAAGCTAGATGTATAGATTCAATTTGTTGGTGGGTGAGGATGTTAGTTTGGCCTCATGACATGACATAGAAAGAAGAGAATTAATGCCCTAAAAGTGAACAAACAAAAGTACTCAAAAAACAATAAGCCTTTTGTGAAGAAAGACTGACATAGAATGTGTTCAAGAATGTTCCTTAATCTACTTTAGATTTCTCTACTTTACCAAATGCCTATGGCATTTAGAATCCATAATCTCCAAGGAATGATTTTGCCCTGGGGGAAAAATATTTGTTTTTTGGTGTGGTGTGTTGGGTGGGGAGGTCATTACAGGAGGGAAAAGGATGGTTGAGATCTCTAAAACTTAAGTTAGGTGCAAATGAATTGATATTCTTATTCAAGATGGTCATGCATTTTGGAAAATTCTATTTTATTCTTATAGGAAACATGAAAATTAATAAACTCATCAGTGTCAAACTAGAGTGGAGTGAATTCTCATAGTATTGATTAATACAGGATGACACAGAAGATTGAGGAAAGTTTTTTGCTTTGGGATTTTGGAAATTGTTGTAACAACACCACCTCCAGAAAATTGACAATGATTTATCTGCTACTTATTTCAGTGAAAATATTTGTTTCTTCTATATTGTCAAAGAATATGTTTCTTGCAAAGAGACTATCATCAAAAAGTCTTTAAGTACGGGAGATTAGAACTGGAATAAAAGAAAAGATCCAAGGGATGATCCCAAATTAAATTAAATGCACTATTGTCAGCAGATAGTGAAATGAATACACTGACTATCTAAATCAGTAGATTTCCCTCAGAAACCCCAGAAACTAGGGCTTGGTTGCCAGGCTGTTTTCAAGTTTGATTCAATGGGTACATCATGTAAAAAGTCACTTCCTTATGTAATCTATAAGTCTTAGTATTTTTTGATTTGCCAGTCCCAGAGAAGAATTCTTAATCTCAATTATTAGTCTGAATTGTTCTTATAGACTGAAACCTATAACTTGTAATGCAGTAGTGTACAACCTTTATTTCTAGGAACTGCCTAGTCTGTGAGCTTGGACTCCTGGTTGTGTTCCAATAATACCTAGGAGAATGTTTCCATGTAACAGAAACCTATTATGTATTTGATTAATGAATACATGAATGAATGTAATCTAAATCCATCAAGGCTTCAAAACTTTATGAGAAGCCAGGAATGGTAGCACACAAGTGCAATCTCAACTACTTAGAAGTCCAAGGCCACAGGATTACTAGTTAGAGGCCAGCCTGGTGAACTTAGATCCTGTCTCAAAATTAAAATTTTTAAAAAAGGGTTGGGGTTGTGGTAGAGTACTTGAGCATATGAATGGCCCTGAGTTCCATCTCAAGTGCTGTAAAAATAAAATAAAATAAAATAAAAGCTTTAAGAGAAAGACCTGATAAGTTCAGATAGAAATTTCCAAATATTATCTTCTAAAATGTTGACTAATCTGACTATTTTCAAAATGGGTTTTTAAAAATTCATATGCAAATGCAATTACTTTTAAAAAATGAACTTACATTGGAAACCTCAGCATCAAGAGGCATTGGCAAGGTGTTTCAGCATAGCTGGGGGAGTTCTCAAATTGAGGTCTTTGGGAATTTTCCCATCATGAATGAATTAGTCAAATTTTAAGAAAAAAGAAATCAAGTGGATGACTCTATCTCACAACAAAACAATTTTCAAATGTAAGAGGAAATTTCAAAGCCAAATCTGTACTTACATCATGGAGTGGGTAGGCAGATGAATAGGTATTAGAAGTTAGCAGTCTATCAATCCCAAACCTTTTCTTCCCATCTTCTACGCCAAAAGGACACCGTGAGAGAATATAATATACCTACAAGATAAATACAAAAAGACTCTAGCACATTTCATAACTTTTATACTTTCTACATTTTTCAATCACTATTTATTTAACAATGTCCATTTTGTCTAAATGTAGACACAGGCTGAGATTACAGAAAGAAGCCTCGCTTGGTTGTTTTGGGAGAAGATACAGGATGTGGGGTTATAAGGACTCTGCAGATATTTCAGCTCCTGGTTCTGAGAGTCCCCTACCCTTGCAGTGGGGTCATGGGTGGATTGATTATAATGTAGTTTGGTTCTTTTATCTCAAGCTCCTCCAGGAGTCTTTTGTGTAGAATTCCTAGGATAGTCAGGATTCCAGATGGGAGTCTTTTTAATATATATTTATTTTTTAGTTGTAGTTGGACACAATACCATTATTTTATTTATTTATTTATTTATTTCTATGTGGTGTTGATGGTAGAATCCAGGGCCTTGCATGTGTTAAGTGAGCACTCTACCACTGAGCCACAACCCCAGACCCAGATGGAGTCTTAATATCACCAACATTTCACTTGAAAAAATACAAAGTAGAATCAATATATAGCCAAGCTGTTTTGAATATTTCTTCACTTAATTACTATGATGATTTATGCTGGACCTTTACCTGTTATTATCTTGAGTTGAATTTATTGACTCAAGATTATCATAGGTCCACAACTTGCAACCACTTACATCTTTATATATATATTTTTTTCCTGTTTACACCTTGGGCCTTGGTTTCCCTTGCTATTGTATTTCTATCAATTCATTCTAATCTGCTTTTTGTCTTCAGGAACTTTTCATAACTTCTACTTTTATGATTGTTTAATTGGTCCTTCAGCACTATTTTAAATGCATTTCCCACTCTTTTCTTTTACATTTCATCATTCAAGGACTTGCTGATTGCAATGTGGTGTTTGTCCTTGAATCATCATTATCTAATGTGGTCCATTCATTTCAAGGGAAGTTTAATATTCCATCTTAATAAAGAAATCATAATTTATGCAAGGTAGTTTTAATTTTGATAAACAGTGTAATGAAACTATTTTATATACTTTGGATTATTTCCTTAAGACATAGTCACCAAAATAAGAAGTTTGTCTTGAGTGAAAAAATTTGCTTTACCAGATATTAAGATATATTACAAAGCAATGGTAATAAGTATAGTACTATTAAACAAGGAAAGCAGTATGGAGATTCCTTGGAAATCTGGGAATGGAACCACCATTTGACCTAGCTATCCCTCTCCTTGGTCTATACTCAAAAGACCTAAAAACAGTATACTACAGGGACACAGACCCATCAATGTTTATAGCAACACAATGCACAATAGCTAAACTGTGGAACCAACCTAGATGCCCTTCAATAGATGAATGGATAAAAAAGATGTGGCATATTTACACAATGGAATATTATTGCAGAATAAAAGAGAATAAAATCATGGCATTTGCAGGTAAATGGATGGAGTTAGAAAAGATAATGCTAAGTGAAGTTAGCCAATCCAAAAAACCAAATGCTGAATGTTTTTTTTTTTTTTTTTGATATAAGGAGGCTGATTCATAGGGGGATAGGGAGAGGAAATATGGGAAGAATAGACGAATTTTAGACAGAGTAGAGGGGTTGGAGGGTAAGGGAGGGGGCATGGGGCTAGAAATGATGGTGGAATGGGATGGACATTATTATCCAAAGTACCTATATGAAGACACAAATGGTGTGAATATACTTTGTATACAACCAGAGATATGAAAAATTGTGCTTTATATGTGTAATAAGAATTGTAATGCATTCTGCTGTCATATATAAATAAAAAAAGTTTTTCAAAGAAAGAAAAAATAAATAAAATAAAAATTTTAAAAAAAGATTATTCCAAGAGAGGGATGGCAACTATGACAATAGAAAGAATATTTTAACCAGGAAATCTTCAAACATCTGCAAGACCAGGCAGAATATACTTTTAAATTTTCTTTTACAAAGAAGTAAGCAAGGATTAGGGAGAGTTTCTCCTTGTGTTAGGGAGCAGCTGCAGCTGTTCTACATATTAATGTTGGCTCAGGTTTGGCTCTACTAGATATTTCCTGATAGAAATAAAAGAGCAGGGAACATCATAGGCCAAGGTTTTGGTTCCTGTGAGGATGAAAAGTTAAGTTCCTTTATGTGAATTAACAAGGTCTTTGTTCTGAGGGACCAATGGTGCCAAACAATTAAACTAACCCTTTATGAAACAAAGACTGAGAATCTGAAAGGACTGTGGCAGCTTTTGTTACTACAAAATATTGAAAGGGATAAATTGTGAGGGTAAGCCAAACTTCTAAAATAACTGAATTTTCCCTGGTCCCAGAAGGGAAATGCCTTACCTTCTTTATCTCTTCTTTTGTGATGAATATAAATCTTTATAAAGCTAAATAGGCATCTCCTCAGTTTTACAAACTAACAAAGTCTTTCTTAAGTTTCCTTGGAGCTATTTATTTTAAATATATACAGCAACAAACCTGATATCATTTTTTATCTCTGAGTTTCTGTGGAGGTTTAGCCTGGATACCTGATTCCAAGCTGTAACTACCACTTGACAGAAAGAAGTTTCATTTTTTTTCTTTTCATAAAAGCAATGCACTAGCATAGTCTGATGGTTCAATTTCCAGGTAAATTTAGGATAAAGCACTGGATAAATGGTGCTGTGGAATCAAACTGATGAGATGGTAGAGGTATCCCTGAGTATCAACTCAATCACATGAGGAAGAATGGCTTTTTCAGTGAGTTTGTTCCCAGAAAAAAAAAAAAAGTATAGGGGATTTCCTTAACTGTTCCTGCTTTCCAAGACTACAGAACTCTGGTAAATTCATTTTAAAAATAATAAAAAGATCAAAGGCACAGATTAGAGGCTAGAAGTAACCTATGAATTTGTGGTGTAAAAGAAATATGAAAGTTGTCAGAATCAAAATGGAGTCACTTGTGTTAACCCTAACAACAAACTCGAAATAAAACTGGTAGGTTACATAGGAAGGATTCTTCTTCATGATTGCCTGATATTGTCACAAAAGGCTATCAGAATCATTTCTCATTAGAAATTTGCCCTAGCCTCAATTTCTTTGAATATACTCATAGTTTAGAATTGAATACATATACCCAAATAAATATCTCATTGTTTGGAGAAGCTCTGATTATTTAAATGTAGGTTGACAGTGGATATTTGAGTCATGACAAAGGTAGCACTGTAAAACAGTATGAAAAGTTGAGTGTTTTCAGTAATTGTTACAAGTTAGCTGACCATAGACAACGGGGGAAAATCAATTACTATTTTCTGCCATGCACAAAAATTAATCCTAGGTAAAGAGTGATTCTCAGTGGGATAAGTGAAATAATACAGGCATGCCTCTGAGATATTGTACAACACAGATCAGACCACTGCAGTAAAGCTACACAATTTTTTTTAGTTTCCCAGTGCATATAAAAGTATCTTTATAGTGCACTATAATCTATTAGTTGCACAATATTAGTATCTCCAAAAATAGCAATTGCTATACCTTAATGAAAAATATTTAATTGCTAAAATATGTGAATAATAATATTGCATTCAGTTGAGTCGTAATCTCTTTCCTGGTGGAGGCAAGGGCATGTTTTTAATGAGAAAAATGAAGGGGATTACTTAAGATATTTTGAAACAATAATCCCTGGCCACTATGATTAATATCAAAAGTGGCTTCTGTCTGAAGTTGAACACACAGTTCTGGGCAAGCATATTTCCTTATAGATGTATATTTTTAATAAAGTTGTGGTGGCCTCTCTGCAAGTGTGTGATTTGGGGACTTTTTTACATCAATCTTCCAAATGACTTGTGTAATAGAACAAGAATAGTAGTTGTCCCTTCTGAAGAAGGGGAATATAATTTAATGTTGAATTAGTCTATATTGTCACTGTTTATATGGAACAAGAAACATAAAAAAAGAGTAACATTTGTGTCTGATAAAGATCCCATTTCATTCCCGTGTGTTCACTGTTTTTTTTTTCCCCAAACTTTTAATGGGACAAGTATTATTAAATTACAGTTTGCAGAGTGCTTTGCATATTTCCTTCAATTGATTTTCACTATAACACCAGTATAATCATTATCATTGTTTCAAGAAGTTCTCTTTATTTAGTTATCTTATTTCAAAGTGACAGAGTTATGAGTTGATACCAGGGCATCTGATTCCGTGTCTCATGCTTTCATGTCCTTAGTGGTTGCCTCTTAAGGTTTTTTTGCTGATTTTTAATATTGGTATAAAAAGGAAGAAAACTTTCAGTTTGTGAATTCATGTTTTCATACCAAAAATCCTAGGAATTACATTTTAATACTCCCTTCAATGAACCTTTAACTAGGAATAAAATGGAACTAAGCTTCTCCTCTGGTCAGGAAAAAAAAAAAAAAAGCACATCACCTCAAGGCATAGACCTTGAGATTTTTAGAAACCAGGTGGTTGAATTAGTATGCAACAATGTATAAGGGCAACACAAAACCTGAAATTTTCTTCTGAAGTCAAATAATAAGGATAATATCTAAAATTTGTTGAACATTTGACATGTGACATGTACTGTTCAAAACTTTTCATATCTTAGCTTCTTTAATTTTTAGAGTAATCTGTGAAGTGGATACTGTCCTAATTTAAACACAAAGAAACTGTGGCACAGAACCTTTAGTTTTTTAGGAGACAGGTTTTTAACGGGAAGCTTAAAAGATCCTAGTAGTACAAATGGAGAGGAAATATTGATTCAAAAGGCTGAAATTTAAATTGGGGGAGAAAATTCTGAGATTTCTCAAATTCTATCTCTATATAAATAAACTGAAACATTAAAATTTTACATGAAATGATCAATATTCCTCATACTATTCACTGATTTTATAAAACCAGACTTGAATATTATAAGAGCAATCTACAAAGATCATATAAAATCAAAGTCCTCTGGCTCTCAGTGAAGGGATTTGCTAGGATGGCATGGTTCTATTTTTATTACTATATCCACAGTGTCAATGACTCATTTTTTAAATGAAAAATTGAGAGGCGTGGAGGATAACAGGTTTAAGTGAGCCAAACAGATTTTCCAACCTGCCCAATACTGCCAAATGCTTATATCCTACACATAGTATTGTACATGCACAAATATAAAAGCACACATAGTCACACATGCCATAGTTGGAGAGATGTGCAAGATCTTTTCTACCTACAATTCTGTTTCTTGATGAGGATGGAAAGAAGGTTGCTTCATCTTCAATGAGGAAGAGCTCCTGCCGATGTCTGCTGAACTGGGCAGTGAAATATTCAGGGCGAGGAAACTTCACTTCCTGTGGGAGCCTCACAGGCCCGAGCATATAACGCAAAGGGCTGTTCTCAGTTCGGGGAATATCACTCTCCTTAACAGGCATTTTGATTCCCAAAACTTCTGCATAAGTAACTAGTACCTCCCAAGGTGCATGAATCTTGACAAAATAAGTTCTTCCATCTTCTGAGTCCTGAATAAAATAAAGGCAAAATCAGTAAGCTTACTGATCATTTGTTATTGAGCTGATTAAAGAAACAAAACTTAAAAAAAAATCAAAGATGTCAAAGCATTTTAATTTGTTGAAAAACTATAGCAAAATTTTTACAAAATTAATCTGAAAACAGATATAAAATACTTATACATTTATAAGTTTATGTTATATATGTATATACACATACACATGCGTGAGACAGAGACACAGAGAAAATGTTTTTTAAAATATATTACATGGCCCATCAACATGCAGCCCTAAATACACAGCCACACATGGTTATGAACAATTTCTGAATAAATCTTTTTTTCCTTGGTCCTGGGTATTGAACCCAGTGGACACTTTACCACTGAATCAAATCACCAGCCTTTTAAAAAAAATATTTATTTTTTAGGTGTAGTTGGACACAATACCTTTATTTTATTTATTTATTTTTTTATGTGGTGCCGAAGTTCGAACTCAGGGCCTCGCACAAGCTAGGAGAGCACTCTACTGCTGAGCCACAACCACAGCCCCTCACCAGGCTTTTGTTGCTGTTTTTTTCTTTTTTATTTAGGACAGAATCTCATTAGTTGCTTAAGGCCTAGCTAAATTGCTGAGGCTGGCTTTGAACTTGTGATTCTCCTGCTCAGCCTACTCCGTCACTGGGATTACAGGAATATACCACAGTACCCAGCTGAAATGGCTAGCTATAAACTCAGAATTCTGCTTAGTTTATATAAGGGATATATCCAAACTATAAGATGGTCTCACTCTTCTTATCCAGCTTTTGTATAAAGCCTACATGAAGATGGAAGAGCTTTAGATAATAAAGGTCCATCATATAGCAGAATAAATTACAGATGTGTGCTGTAATATACATTTTTAGCTAGTAAAAGTAGGAGAGAAATAAGAACTAAAGAATATTAAATTTAAAAAGCATTAGAAATATATAGACAGGGTGGGATCCTAAATGTGTCTTTAAAAACAATTTTAAAAGTGATTCCAGAAAAATGGTGAAAGACAGGGATTAAATATTAAAAACTTGGTATATTCATGAACAGTGCATCTTGACTTATGCTGTAATATATCCAGTTTAACTACTTAATGTACCAGATTATAGACAGTCTTCAAAATAAGGATGAACCTAAGACCATGTCTTCACTTCTTTTGTAACCTGGAAAGATATATTATGTATGCTCATTTTAAAGTGTTTTACTGGTCTCCCAACATTCTAGAGGGCATTCAAAATATATATAATTTTTTTAAAAAATTGAGAAAGTAACTCTTATTCCTAATGTAGGAACATATGATTTTGTAAACCAGATGATTACCCATTCTCTGAATTCAACAAAAATAATAGCAGAGCTAATACAACTGCTAGGTGAAAGATCCTAAAACATTATTTTAAACATTAAATCACATGACTATATGCTGAGTTCTGTATTTCTAATATAAATTAGAAGTTCAAAAGATTAACACTGTTATGACAGTACTTCTAATCCAATCTTTTTACTTTATTTGAACAACCTTCCTTTACATTACTGACCTGTAAGACCATAGAAACTACCATGCCCAGTGCAGACAGCTGATACATAGTGATCTAAACACAAAATATACCCACTTGAAGGCTGGAACAGGAGAAAACAAGACTTAAAACATAAAATTCTCATACAAATTATCAATTACATTTACCCTTTTGTCTTCAATTTCCAACTCAAGACCTGTTTTTCTGAGATTTTGTTCAAACTCTTTTCTTCTTTCCTACAGCAAAACAAATAAATGAATGTTTTTGTATTTTTTGCTCAGTGCTATGCATACTCAAAATACAAAGGCTGTGCTCCAGACGATTCTGGCCCTCTCAGCTTTGTCTATAAATGTACTCTATGTAATACCCCCATCTTAATGTCATGTGTTGCTTTTTACCTATGCATAAACATAAAACATAAAATACAATACATGGAGGAATAATCTCTAAGAAATATGCAGGATCTCTATTTGAAGAGGCATATAAAACTACTGAATAACACAAAAGTTTAAAAAGCCCTCACAAACAGAGAGACATATCATACTCCTAGTTAGAAAGACTCAACATTACAAAGATCAGTATTCTTGAAATAAATTATAAATTTAATAAATTTATAAGACAAATATCATCATGACTTTTTAATCTTAAAGAATAGAATAGTTTCTTAGAAAAAAGTGCAGCCAAATTTCACTATAGGTCATTATTGTAAATAATAATTACTGTGTGGTTTAAAACCATGTATTGATGCTCCAAATTTTTTTGGCCTTAATTACGATTTAAGTGAGAAGAATTTCAAAGTGAAAAAAAATTGTTAAAAGCCTTACTAGGATATTCTAGGACATTCATTGTCAAATAGGCATGTCTACCTTGAAGTTTCTGTAAAATTTTCATAGAATAACAAATAGCTTTAATATGTTGTTCTTCTCCACTTCCTGGGTGGTTGAACTAGGCCTGTGATAACACTGCAAATTCTCCTTCTTAGCTACATTTTCATCATTGCTCTTTTGCAAAATAAGGCATACACAAACTTCCAGAAAACCAAAGATCGGATGGGGGACTCAACTATTGCTTTCAGTATTGATAAAGTGAATAACTCTTCTTTTAACTGCAGAAACACTTTGTAAATCACATGGTTATCCATTCTCTGAGTTCAATAAAGCTGATAATAGAGTTCATTAAATTGTTATCTGACAAATCATAAAACATTGTTTTAAACATCAAATCACTTTTGCAGAAGTTCAAAAAAGATTGACACTGTTATACTAATACTTTTAATACAATCTGTTTACTTATCTAACCAACCTTCCTTTATTGTAAAATATATAAAAATGAAGAATATAATCCAAGCTGAACCACCTCATCCTAAGATTAATTTTTATTCATGCATGAATATAAAAAACTAATTAATCAATGTATATATAACATGCTTACTTTTAAAATAATTACTTGTTAAATTTTGAAATATACTCATGGTTTTCAATTAAGCACTAATACAATTATAAAATAATTCAATACAAAAAGTTTAAGACTCAGAATATTATAAAGACAATAAAAACATTTCAATCAATATAAATATGGTTTTGTAGCAATAATGATTAACTGAATAATAAAAATACTCTCAAGAATAAAACATGCTAATACCACCCTGCTGATCCATGCAGGAGCCAAGGCCAAAATTAGACCCAGGACTGCCCTGCAGACAGCAGACAGATGCAGAAACCTAGGCCTAGCCTGCCTACATCTTGGGACACTGGAGCCATCACCACAGCCTACCCCACACAGTAGCCTCTACCTTGGGACAATAGATAGGGTCTAAAGGCAGCTGCATCTCTGAACAGGCAAGACAACCTTTCAGCCCCATCTCTAAAAGTGATTGCAGCCATCTTGGGATACAGCCACTACTATCTTGAGTTACCTCTACTATTGCCACCATCATCTTTAGTTGCAGTAGCATTTATCTTGGGACATCAGCCAGGGACTAGAAGCCCAATACCAAGGTAAAGTACAGGTAATCTGCAGGGAAACTACAAGATCATAGGGTAGAAACTGTAATACATCAGATCTGCACTGCAAGAAGGAAGACACAAAGAAAACATGAAAAACAAGGGAGGAAAGTGCCCCAAACAAACCAAGATACTACATTAATAGAATTCATGGACAGAGCAATTGATGAAGTGTTAGAGAAGGAGTTCAGAATGTACATAATTAAGATGATGTATGAATTAAAGAATTACCTAAGTGAGCAAATACAGGCAAGAATCCATCATTCCAACAAAGAGATAGGAACAAATACAGGTAGCAAAAGATTACTTCAAAAAAGAGACAGAAATTCTGAAAACAAACAAGTAAAAAATAATCAGAAGTCCTTGAAATGAAGGATACAATAAATCAAATAAAAAACTCAATAGAAAACATCACCAACAGACTAGATTACTTGGAAAACAGAACATCAGAAAATGAAGACAAAATATACAATCCATAAAATAAAGTTAATCACACAATGAAGATGGTAAGGAACCATGAACAGAACATCCAAGAATTATGACAGCATAAAAAAAACTAAGATATATTGGGATACAGGAAGGCACAGAGATTCAAACCAAAGGAATGCACTATCTATTCAATGAAATAATATCAGAAAATTCCCAAATATGAAGAATGAATAGGAAAATCAAATACAAGTGGCTTAAAGGACAGCAAATGTACAAAATTACAACAGATCCCACCAAGCACATTACAATGAAAATGCTTAGCATACAGAATAAGGATAGAATTTTAAAGGCTGCAAGAGAGAGGAATCAGATCACATATAGGGGGAGACCAATTCATATCAGCAGATTTTTCTACCAAGACCCTCAAAGCCAGGAGATCATATACTAAACTCTGAAAGAAAATGGATGCCAACCAAGAATCTTATATCCAGCACATTTAAACTTCAGATTTGATGATGAAATAAAACCTTTCATAATAAACAAAAGGTAAAAGAATTTACAACTAGAAAGCCTGCACTACAGAGTATTCTCAGCAAAATATTTGAGGAGGAAATAAAAACAACAATGAAAATCAGCAAAGGGAGGAAATACACTAAAGGAAAGGCTAATCAAAGGAGAAACCAAGTCAAGTTAAAAACCAAAAATAAACCAAAATGACCAGGAATACAAATCATATTTGAATAATAACCTTGAATATGAATGGCCTAAATTAATCAATTAAAAGACATAGATTGACAGATTGGATTTTTAAAAAATGACACAACAATATGCTGCCATCAAAAGACTCATTTCACATTCCTTGGACAGCTGGGAATGGAACCACCATTTGACCCAGCTATTCCCCTTCTCAGACTATACCTAAAAGACCTAAAACGAGCATACTACAGGGACACAGCTACATCAATGTTTATAGCAGCATAATTCACAATAGCTAGATGTGGAACCAACCCAGATGCCTTTCAACAGATGAATGGATAAAAAAAAATGTGGCATTTATACACAATGGAATATTATTCAGCACTAAAAAAAAATAACAAAATCATGGAATTTGCAGGGAAATGGATGGCACTAGAGCGATTATGCTAATCGAAGTTAGCTAATCCCTAAAAAACAAATGACGGATGTCTTCTCTGATATAAGGGAGGTGACTCAAAACAGAGTAGGAAGGAAGAGCATGAGAAGAAGATTACCACAAAACAAGGAAAAGAGGTGGGAGGGAAAGGGAGGAAGAAGGGGAATTGCATGGAAGATGGAAGGAGACTCTCATGGGTTCACAAAATACATATACAATGGTGTGAGGGGGAAGGGAAGGAAAAAAAAGAGAGAGAGAAAGTGTCACAGTAGAAAGGGTAGAGAATAGTGATTGGAGGGGAGGGGTGGGGAGGGGGGATAAGGAGGACAACAGAATAAACTGACACTAGGATTGCTGTATGTATACACATGGATGTATAACCAATGTGATCCTGCAATTTGTACATGTGGAAAAATGAGAATTCATACCCTATTTGAATCAAATGTATGATATGTCAAGATCATTGTATTGTCTTGAACAACTAATAAAAAAAATGAGTAATGGACATAGGTAAAGCATCTTAAAAAAAAAAAAAGACTCATCTCACAGGAAAAGACATCCATAGACTGAAGGTGAAAGGGTGGAAAGAAACGTACCATTCACATGGACCACATAAACAAGCAGGGGTTTCCATCCTCATTATCAGATAAAGTGGGCTTCAAACCAAAACTAGTGAAAAAGAAGGACAGTTCAAGGTGTAGGCTCTCTCTTCACCTCACAGATTGTTTCTTTTGCTGAGAAGAAACTTTTTAGTTCGAGTCCATCCCATTTATTGATTCTTGATTTTAATTCTTGCGCCAAAGGATTCTTATTAAGGAAGTTGGGGCCTAATCCCACATGATGGAGATTATGGCCTACTTTTTCTTCTATTAGACGCAGGGTCTCTGGTTGTATTCTTAAGTCTTTGATCCATTTTGAGTTGAGTTGTGTGCATGGTGAGAGATAGGGGTTTATTATCATTTTGTTGCATATGGATTTCCAGTTTTCCCATCTCCATTTGTTGAAGAGGCTATCTTTTCTCCAATGCATGATCTTGGAACTTTTGTCTAATATAAGATAATTGTAGTTTTGTGGGTTAGTCTCTGCATCCCCTATTCTATACCATTGGTCTACCAGTCTGTTTCGGTGCCAATACCATGCTGTTTTTGTTACTATTGCTCTGTAGTATAGTTTAAGTTCTGGTATAGTGATGTCACCTGCTTCTCTCTTCCTGCTAATGATTGCTTCAATTATTCTGGGTCTCTTATTTTTCTAGATGAATTTCATGATTGTCTTTTTTATTTCTATGAGAAATGTCATTGGACTTTTGATCAAAATTGCATTAAATCTGTATAGTGCTTTTGGAAGTATGGTCATTTTTTATAATATTAATTCTGCTTATTCAAGAGCAAAGTAGATCTTTCCATCTTCTAAGGTCTTCTTTGATTTCTTTCTTTAGGGTTCTATAATTTTCATTATATAGATCTTTCACCTCTTTTGTTGACTCTCAAGTATTTTTTTGAGGCTATTGAAAATGGGGTGGTTTTCCTCATTTCCCTTTCTGTGGATTTGTCACTGATATACAGAAATGCCTTTGATTTAGGAGTATTGATTTTATATCCTACTACTTTGATGAATTCATTTACTAATTCTAGTTTTCTGGTGGAACTTTTAGGGTCTTCTAGGTATAGAA